GCGCAGGCCCAGCGGCCACGGCTCACGGGCCCAGCCACTCCGCGCCATGTGGGATCCTCCCGGACCGGGGCACGAACCTGTGTCCCCTGCATCGGCAGGCAGACTCTCAACCACTGCGCCACCAGGGAAGCCTTATTCCTATTTAATTTTTACAAGCACTTTTTTTTTAACAAGGGCACCCCAGTTTCACATACTTGGCTGCAGACACTTCAGGATGCCCTGTTACTCAAATCCACAGCCACGTTGTCACCACCTGTACACACGCAATCACGTACACCTCATCCCCTCCTCCTGGTCCAGCCCCCACCTCCCCCCAGCGTTGTCTGACCCTGGGGCAACCGTGAGGATGGGGAATATAAGAGGATGGGGGAAGGTGGGACTTTCTGAGGTTCCAAGCCCCCTCCTGATGCCCCTTGGGACCACATATTCCTCTCAGGCCATTCAGGGGGCCCCCTCCCCACCCCCGAGCAGAGCAGGCAGGTCAGAGCCCCCACCCTCAGCGTGTGCCCTGCCCTCATGTGTCCTGGATGTAGTTTCCTCATAGATTCTAGAGCCAGGAGGGCAGGCCCAGATCATGTGTGGATTGGAAGTGTCAGTGGGGTGTCACATAATCACCCAGAAAACCTTCCCTTCTGCCTCCCCATCCTGCGTGGGGTGACTCACACCGTGATCTGGGACAACCTGCTCGTCTGTACCATCCGTGGTTGTGTCTTCCTCTGGGGTGCGGGATGGTGGGAGTGTGCAAGGGATGCTGGACATGTGGGTCTCAATGGACTCGGCCCCTGACTTTGGGGGGTGACTTCAGGCCAAGCCCTGCCCCTCTCTGGGCCTCAGTTTCCCCATCTGTGTATACCCTTTCAGCCCCTCCCGGCCCTGACCTTGGGAACCTCACTCTTCCAGACTCCTTCCCTAGCCCTTCTTTTCATTCGTGCATTCCTCCAGAGTATTTATTGAGCACCTACTGTATGCCTGGGACCCAGCAGCGCCTGGGGCGGCCCCGGCCCGGCCCTGTCTTCTGTGACAAGTGCTGAAGCCGGAGGATCTCCCGATCCTCCGGCACAGTTCTGGAGGGAGGCGTGGGGTCTGGGCGCCCCCTGGTGGCAGGACGGGGGGGGGGAGAAGGAACTCAGCGTTTCAGGCGTTCCCTGCAGCCCCCAAGGGCTTCAGGTCCCCGATGGCCCCAGATGGTCCCCTCTGCCTCACTGCAGTGGGGGAGTGTGTTCAGTGTCTGGAAATGGGAGCCTCCGGCCTCTTCCTCCCCGGAGCTCTGTGGGGCAACCCTGCCATCTACTCCCCAACTAGCGGGACCGGTTTGCAGGGGTGAGGTTCCTGCCGGGGCAGAGGCCAATGCAGGGCCCACTCTAGCAGACAGGATGGCCTGTGGCCACAGGAGCCACGATTTCCCGCATGCCGTTCTCCCAGCGGCAACATTGTTTCCGTTAATGGTCATGTAACAATCAATGGAACCATTTAAAGAGAGAAGAAAACATTGCAATTTTAAAGATACTCAAAATCAGCAACCCAGTTGGAGATGGAACTAGCATTTGCACTTACTTGCCCAGCAAAAATTCCACACTGCTTTGATGCTTTACTTTTAAAGACGAATAAAAACTCCAGGTGCAACAACGGAAACGGAGAGACTCAAGATCTGTATCTCTGTGTCTTTACAATCCCTGGCTCTGGGGTTTTATTATTTACTGTGTCCCTTTAGGAACACGCAGGGCCCATTTGGTTTAGAGATTGGATTGCTGCCCGAAGACACCACAGGTGATTACAGACGGAAATGCTTCTCAAGGGAAGCACTCACAGCTGAGTCCTCAAGGGTCCAGAACTGGGAATTCTCCAAATGGACTTCCCGCAGGAAGCGATGTTTATTAAAGGATAAAGAATGAAAACGGGCAAGCTTGAAACATGTGTCTATTTTAATAAAACAATAGTAATCACGACAGTTCTTTCATCAACCCCACAAAATATTGTATTCAACAAACTTGTGGAGGTCCAGCTCTGGGGGGTGCGATGCTTTTCTTACTGTTTTGCATTCTCTGCAGACAGCACCCCTCTGTTGTCTGCGCTTCTCTCTCACCGACCCTGTACCAGCTGGCTCACCCACAGGAGGACATGAGTCCGGTTGAAGGGCTGCTGAAAACCCCTGGACTGTCTCACACCCTGAGGGTTAGTTGAGGGTTACAATGGCTTGACCACCTGGGAAAACAGTTTGGCTGTTTCTGCTACAGCTGAACGTACACTCGTGTACAAGTTTGAATAATCACGTCCACGCCCTAACCCCTGGAACCTGTGAACAGAACTTTATTTGGAAAACAGACTTTTGAGGATGTAATTTTTGTTTGTTTGTTTGTTTGTTTGTTTGCGGCACGTGGGCCTCTCACTGCTGTGGCCTCTCCCGTTGTGGGGCACAGGCTCCGGAAGCGCAGGCTCAGCGGCCACGGCTCACGGGCCCAGCCGCTCAGCGGCATGTGGGATCTTCCCGGACTGGGGCACGAACCCGTGTCCCCTGCATCGGCAGGCGGACTCTCAATGCGCCACCAGGGAGGCCCCTGAGGATGTAATTAAAAGTCTCAAGAAGATCATTCTGGAGTATCCAGATGGACGCTAAATCCAGTGACAAGTGACTTGTAAGAGACACACAGAGGAGAGACAGAGAGAAGAGACCCGTGTGAAGACAGAGTCAGAGATCGGAGGGATGCAGCCATAAGCCCAGGGATGCCTGGGGCTCCCAGAAGCTGGAAGAGGCAGGAAGGACCATCTCCTGGAGCCTCCAGAGGGAACACAGCCCTGGGACACCTTGATCTGGAACTTCCGGCCTCCGAATGGTGAAAGGAAAAATTCCTGTTGTCCCAAGCTACCCAGTTGGTGGTGACTGGTTACAGCAGCCCCAGGAGACTCAGAGGTTCACCCTACACCCTGCAGTCTCTGACAGGTATACGCCCAAGACAAATGAGAGCTCTGCTCACCAAAGGCTGCTTCTAGAATGTTCCTAGCACCTTTAGTCACAATAGCCCCCCACTGGAAATAACTCTAACACCCATCAGCAGTGGACTGAATCATTCTCTGGCCCTCACAGAATGACATGCTGTCTGCCAACGAAAAAGAATGATGCACCAATCATTCCCGCAGCAGCGTGGTGAGTCTGAGTCAGACAGGAGGGGACAGAAGACACCGTGGACATGACACAAGTGACCTTCAAGGCCAGAGGCAATGGAGGCAGGATGGGGGTTACCTTGAGGGGGAAGTGACTGGGAGGGGCCGGCCCTGTTGTGATACTTGCCCCCAAGTCGCGGGTTACACCTTTCTGTACATCTAAATTAAAACCAAAACAAACCTGAGGGGCTAAGTAAACGTCACTGCTTCCACCTGGGGAGACAGGTGTGTGTCCGCTCACCTGTGCTCCCAGGTGACCTGACCTGGGGGGGCAGGGCCCAAGGACAATCTTCAAGGGGCACAGGGGGTGGGGCAAGACCCCGTCTCCTGCCCTGGACCCAGGCCACACCACCTACTTCAAACACCTGGGCCACCAATAGGGAGATTAAGGGATCACTGTCCCCAGAGCCCAAGTGGACTTCTCAGCAGGGTGGGGGCTCATTAATAATTACCCTCGACCCTTTCCTCCCAACAAATCCAACAACCTCAAGTAAAAGCCAAAGTCCTCACCACACCTTCCAGGCAGGCACCTGCGTGGTCCAACCCTAGACCCACCTCCTCTCTCGCCCTGGCCCATGTGGCTGCAGCCACACCAGCCTGCCTGCTTCTTCTAACCCACCAGGCACAGTCCTGCCTCAGGGCCTTTGCAGTGACTGATTGAATGAACTGGACCCACTGCTCACCAGTAGCACTCGCTCCATGGTTCTTCCTCCCTCGCTGGAGTTCTCAAGGATGAGGACACAGGGCTGGCCAGGTTGGCAGCTGCACAGAGCTGCCTCCTTTTCAGGAAAACTGTCTGTGATGGATGGGGTCACCACCAGCTGGGGACAAGCTGGGCCACTCAGTGGGGAGCGGGATGACACGTCAAGGGATTGCAGTACTTGGCTGATGTGTTCGGGCAGGAATCAAAAGTGTCTCCAGATATGGCCCAATGGCCCTGGGACAGAATCACCCCCGGTTGAGAACCACTGACTTATGGCCTTGAGAGCCACTGCCCTGTCGGGGTTCCTGGTTTCCCCTCCAAACCCTCCCCTTGTGTTGGCCCCAGAAGTTGTAACCAACCAGAATCTGGGAGAAGCAGAGCTCAGGTGTGCGTGTGGGGGGCGCGGAATGTGATGGGCGCTAC